GTTTCATTGATATGTGACAATTAAAAACTGATACAATCTCATTAATATTCTCTTATATATTACAATTAAAAACACTGTGATTTTAAAATTCCAGTTTTTATTTTTTACAATAATCTACTTAAATAAAAATTTTTTCCTATGCTAATTATTACTGGTTGAGTCAAATTCGGGCTAGTGAAGTATAATTTTTTAAAGATGTATTTATTTATGTTTACAGAACTGGGATACAAGCCAGAGGTGTTGGGGAGGTGAGAAGGTTCACCAGAGACAGAGTGGGGAACAGATGCACTGAAATACACTGCTGAGGGGAGCAGCTGGCAGGTCAGGAAAAGTCTGCCACACCACGTGGGTCAGCTCCCTGGCCTACGGGGGTCCAAACTTGCTCTGTAGTAGCTTCAGAGAGCTTCATAGTGATGCGTTTTAAACTACTGTGACACCAGGGAGAGCCCCAAAGTATTAAAATGCTTTTGTCTTTTTGCTATTCAAACTGCTCTAGTTAATGTTGTCAAGGCCTTCTTAACTGACAAAATCAACAGACCCTCCACTTCCCAATTCAGATTTTGTCACTGGTGACCACCAATTCAACCTTTTCTATAGAATTGTCTGAAGTAGATGAACTTCAGACACCAAGACACCAACTCCAGACACACAGAGCTACTCTCCTTTCCCTGTTTATTCCTTCTCCTTTCTTCTGTTGATTTTAGCTGTTGAATCCTTTGTTCAAAAGATTTTCGTTAAAAAATTTTACAAGGAAATTTAACTCTGCAGATTGAGGGAGTATTGATTTAGTCAGATAGCCTTTCCCCATCCAAATGGGGCTCTATGGAACAATTTGAACATTACTGCACTAGGATCCAACACGTTTTCTGTCACAATTTCATCTTACTGTGGTAACTGACGATAAAGTACCAACTGTTGCCCAGCAAAGATGCTGGCTCAACTATCATTGAGGCTACAAGGGAAATATGAATGTAAACATGAGAACTGCTTAATAATAAAAATGCTTTGTGTCGATTTTTTTTAAATCTACAATTTATTTTTCTAACAAATACCCGCAAAATAATGACTTCATACGTTTCTGATGGGCACAGAATTTTTCCATTAAAAAACTTTTTTCTTTTTATCTTGGTCTCAACTGAATAATACCTTATAATACAATTAGCAACCTGACTTTATTTTGTGTTTTCATCCTTATTTTCCTTTGATCCAATGTATTTAAATGTTGTGATACTCTCCCATTAACCTATGACATGAAATATACCTAGCAAACTGCCTGTGAGGTTTGGGAGCAAGGCAAGATATAAGCCAACAAAAAGATTATACTTTATTACAGAAAATGATTACAAAATGTTTCAAGAGTAACAAACTAGAGATTTAAAAAAATTGTAGAACACAAGCTGTTACTATAAAATGTAGTTAAAAAAAGGAAAATGCATTCTTTATGTTTCATCTTAGTTTGCTCTGAGTAGACAGGTTGTCATATATGATTAGGAAGAAAAAAAGAATCACTCAGATATTTTTAGGAGTGGTAATTGACTAATCTTTCTAATCCCCGCTATTCCATCCTTGCCTATGACCCTTATACAGGTCAATGAAACTTAATAAAACATTTGTGGAGATTAAAAAAATAAAAAGGTTTTTCAGTCAGTTTCTAAAATCAAGAACATTTTCACCAGCATTTGAACAAGAGTTTGTTTTATGAGATCTTGCTATTCTGAGGTAACATTGTAGGTGTTTCTAAATCACAAATGTTTCTAAATCTGTTGCTTTAAATCACAATCCCTGGGTTTTATTTAAGCACAGAAAATACCAGTATGAGGGAGAATACTGCAATTAGCAAAAGGAAAGAGGGTTTTCATTTGAATAAATAATTTATAACTTGCTTAAATAACAAAATCATTAAGAGGCAATGATTATTATGTTACATTATGTTTTGACATCTCTGAATGCTTTTAAAAATGTGTCAAAAATAAAATTTATCATTTACATCTTTTAGGTATACAATTCAGTAGCATGCTCAGATAATGCAGTGCAGTCATCATTATCATCAATTCCAGAACTTTTTCATCATCTCAAATCAGAAACTGTGCCCATTAGAACCAACTCCCTATCCTCCCTATCCTACCCTGTAGCTTCTATTTTACTTTGTCTCTATGAATTTGGCTAAACCACAGAATCATTCAAAAGGCAACATTTCTGATGCCAAGTAGATTTTAAATACTTATTCATTAAAAAAACATCATTTATCATGTGGTTTTAGTATTTACTACAAAGCAGAATATACCATAGTTGTCATTTAAGGGTTTTGCATAGGAGGGGTCTTATTTTGCTTTCTTTTTGAATTAAAGTTCTTCTTATTCACTTTACTTTGCTAAAAAGCTTGAAGAATTCTGTGCAGTGTGGATGTTCAAGTTTCTTGTCTTTTTATGTATTATATAAATTTTACAAAATTATTGTAAATAACAAAATAATTTGTGAGGTTATTATTGTAAGGAAGGAAGAGAAAGCCAAAAATTAAAGTACTAGAAAAGAAAAAGCTTCAAAATAATATCAGTTATTAAAAGATATACAAATACTTCATGAAAAGGCAAGAAAAATGTGATACAGTAGACATGTGCTGAATTTAATTAAACATAAATGTTAACTGGAAAGGGAATGAAATTATAAGTGATTTAATTTGTACCACATGTGTACATTTTTAAAAAAGCCTAGAACGTTATATACATAAAAAAACAATGATTTCTAGGTGGTAGAATTACAGGTGATTTAATCTTTTTTCCTTTTTGAGCTTTTCTGTAGCTTTATATTTTGCACAACAAAATAGTTTTCTATTCTGCACAATGAAAAAGCATTACTGTGCGATTTAAAAATACACTGATTTGAAAAACAACAAATGATACAATGAAGAACATCTATTGTATCATTACATTAAAATAAAGCTAAATAATGATAATTACCAGTTTAAATCAACCAGCTTTCTGCTATCATATATATATACATATACAATATACATGCCTACATATATAAACTAGCAGGAATGAAATTATTATAATAGACAAGGAGGTATCTTTCTCCTGTATAACTGCTTTTTACAGCAGCTGCAATCAGATCAGACTACCGTATTACAATCAATTTATGAAAGCTGAAACACTGAGCTGTAAATATGACCAAGTAAAAAATACCAGCATAATCTTTCAATTTCAGTGGGAACACTGCCGAGAATCAAGACAGAAATATAAGCACATGACAAACTTCAACTGGCTCACATGAACCATGTTCACTATAACCATATAGAAAGCACATTCAGGCCACTGTGAAGGACACAGATGTTCTCTGTATTCTCCTACCAAAGAAAACCCAAGATGTGTTGACTGTGCAAATCAGACTCTAACATATCTACTGGTTCCCTCTTTCAGAAAGTCCCATGAATTTGAAAAGAAAATAATTAACAGAACAAACATTCTTTTTTAACCTTAACAGTAACTGTGAAAACTATGAATAACTAAGGTTATCAAAGGAAAAATAAGATTAATCTGCCATCAGGGATTAATCAGACTAATAGAGAGGAACTCAATACCACTAGATGATACATCCTTATAATTGAATGCAGGCAGTACAATATTAGGTAGGAGAAAATTTCAAGCTGATTGTGTTTTGCCTTCTGTAAAATGACAAGAGTTGAAACTAAATAATGGATCAAAATCTAAATATGCTTTACAGTTACATGCAGAGGTTCTTCTTTTTTTTTTTAAAGATTTACTTTTATTTATGCATGCATGAACTGGGATGTAGGTCAGAGATGTGGGCACTGAGAGAGGCTGAAGGAACTCAGGCTGCAGGGTGACAGCAAATTAGCGCTGAGACTTAACTCCTACACCACAAGACAGACCCACTTACAGAGGTTCGTAAATATGGAAGCCAAGGATCTTGTTCATTATAATAGTTTCTCCAGGAGAGGTTCATTCAGGGAATCTGCCTGGCATCTATACTTTAAACCAACCAAACCCTCACAGACTGTGAAAGGTTAAATTCACACCACTACTTTCCCATAAAAATAATGTAATGAGATAGCTCCAATTTTTAATTGCTAGACACAGTTCCACAGTTAAATAAACCACAGAATCACTCATAAGGCAATATTTCTGATGTCAAGCGATTTCAAATACTTATTCATTTAATAAAACATCACTTGTCATGTGGTTTTAGTATTTACTACAAAGCAGAAGATAAGCACAAATTCAAGCTCTTTTCTTTCTAATCAAGAAAAAAAATGTGAGTATATATGTATGTATACATGTATCTGTATATATGCACACATATATTTGCATATACATATATAGATATACATTTAAATAGAATATAAATACTTTACAGTAATTGCTCCACTTCCTGAGTTAAACTATATGGGACAACAAATCAGTTATCATCCCACACAATTAAAATCAAATAAATGAAATAATTTAATCTAAGCATTTGAATGGCTATTATCATCCAACTCCCTCTCAAATAAACAACTGGTGCCATTCTGAGTGCACAACATCCCTGAAGCTGGGAGCACTTACATGGGTAGCACAGCATTAAAATTAACCAGGGGCCAATGAAAGTAAATATGCAACTAACCTAAGTAGAAATAAATTATGCCAAGAAGTCAACTGTTTCTTTTTTTTTTTTTTGGACCAGACAAAATAATTCATTGCTTTTCTAAAACTTAATTACTGAGCCTAAAAAGTTGAATGAAGTTTTACATTTGCATTTATCAGGAGAATAAGCAATAGATTTTATTTCAGTGATGCACATTCAAAGATGTTAATCGTCCTTGCAAATATGTTTTAGATATATACTCACTGATGAGTATATTACAATACACTGATATAAGTATACCTTAAGCTCCCAAGCTCCGAATATTTTAAAAGCAAACCTATACATACATAAAATGAAAATTCATGTAAAAATGTACACTTATTTCCAGAAATCTATTCAAACAGAACTAATGCTTTTACCTTGTGAAAATGCCATCCACAATTCCAATTGTTGCTTCCTCTGCAGGTACATAGGAGCCAATCTGAGCCATGATAGTAATTAATGCAACCTGTTTTATATAGGAGCTCTTTCCACCCATGTTTGGGCCAGTAATTATCATGACTCTTTCTGAATCTCCCTAAAAAATTAGAAAGCAATTTCATTTATTGTGCCAGGAGAGCTTTACATGGCATCTACAATTTTTTAACTACACAAATGGAAATTCATTAGGAAAAAATTGCTTTGTGATATGCAAATATATCACTAAATATCAGAGAGGAAAGTAGATCCCTGTATTCAAACTGAGCTGTACAAATGCATAAATGTGAATTCTTAGCAGCAAACATGACTGTTTCAGGATCTGAAAAAGGATAAGAAACAACCTGAACTGGATAACTACTATCAATTTCCATCTGTCCATCTTAATCTATAGAGGTTCTGATTAGTACACCTAATTGCCCAAAGTCCTAATTTGAGTTGGCAGCACATGAATACTTTTTAGTTATTGCTGGGTAAATACTAAAGAAAGTTACAAATCCAAACTCTAGATACTGGTTTTGTTACTGGGCAACCCAAATGTGATATGGCTTGGCCTGACTATAGGTCCTCAACCATTTGCTTAAAAGATACTTACAATGAGACACAACCACAGGCACACAAAAAAAGGTTAACAAATAATTTATTTGCAAAAAGGGGAAATGAGAGATGAGTAACTCAGGGATAAAGAGAGAGATAAATTGGCAAACGTGTCCTTCCAGTTCTGCTAAGATGGAACCACAAAAGCATGTTGAAAGCTGGCAAAAAAACAAGGACTCCTCTCTCCCCCATACCAAAACTGGTTGCTTAACTCTACCCTCAGTTCCCAGGATTCTGCCCTCCGGTGGCAATAACATTATGGGATTTGTAGTCCTTGGTGTCTTGGATGTCTGATCTGGGGTGGGGATAGGTTCCACGAAACCTATTTGTGGTGTTTGTTCAGAATATCCTTTTCCCCCAACAGTTTTATCAACACTGAATTATTCACAGGCATTTCACCAGAGAATACGATGGATTTAGAGAGCTAGAAAACTGGTAATGACAATTTCTAGAACTTGTATTAATCATTTATAGTGATTAATTTACAGACTCATCCTAGGTAACTGCCCAACTACAGCCCTCTATAGAGGGCTCAATGTGGGTACTATATGAACCCACAACATTGGTAATACTGCACAGTCAAGAGTAGCCATCCCATTATTAAACAATGATCTAGGAAAAGCTCCATGTAAAAGTTCTTTTGAGGGCCTCCCTTGTAGTGCAGGGGTTATGTCTCGGCACTACCAAGCTAACGCCAGCCACTGCAGAATGATTTTGTTCCCAGGCCCGGGAGTTAATCCACATGGCCCAGCAGACTTCTGTCTCACCCACAGCTCTCTTCAGCAGTGTATTTCAGTAGATCTCACATATTGCTCTTCTTCCCCACTTTGTCTCTAGTGAATCCTATTCACTGCCTGCACTTCTGGCCTACGCCCCAGTTCTTGTATGCATAAATAAATAACAATAAATATTTTTTATAAAGCTTTTTTGAAACTAGGTCAATCAAATAATCTCTTGGGAGTTTAAACTGAAAACCACTGAGAGCTTTAACTAGTTGGTCACTGGAATGAAGGTTGAAAAGAAACATCATAAAGCCACAGAGCACTAGAAACCATAAGTTAGAAGTTACAAGGAAACAAAAGGTGAAGAAAAGTTATACAGAACAAGAAAAGAAGATGATTAGTAATAAAAGAAAAAATAGAGAACCGAAAGAAGTTGAGAAATTTCAAGCAAATAATGATGTCTCAAAATAAAACAGTCTTACTACCAAGGGATAAGGAGAAAATCTGCTCCATCTTTAAAGCTGTCTCATATCCTAATTATACAAACATTTCCAGTTTCCCAAAGGCCAAGCTGTGCTAAAGATCTTGTTCTTCCTGTGTGATTCCTTTTTCATATGGTCACATGTGGCTCTGTAATGTGCCTAATGAATCTCAATTACTTGAAAGAAGTTATATGAACCTGTGTTTCTTTGAAATACAAAAATCAGCTCAGGAGAGTAACAGCAAAGAAAGAAATGTGGAAAAGCAGAATGATAATACTAATAATTTTCCTGAAGACTTAAGAGATAATAAGCCTATTATAAACCACCAAATATGTAGCATAACCAAATACTCTGAAATTTAAAATGAACAGATATATTTAGAAAAAGGCAAAAAACAGACAAAATAGAAAACTGAAATAATCTTATTTCTATTAAAGAAGTTATATTTGCAATTAAAAACCCAGTCACAGGAAAACTTCAAACTTAGATAAATTCCCCACTGAATTCTTTCACACATGTAACATCAATCATAAAAAAAAACTTTCCAGAAAACTGAAGGAGCTCTTCCTAGATTATTTCAGAAGGGAATATAATCTGCATATCAAAACCTGACATAACCAAAACACTAAAGGTAATTTCATTCATAAATATATATACATAACATTTTAAAATACTAGTAATCCAATAATATATAAAAATTTAGAGTGCTTGTGGAATACAAAGTTTGTACTCCTCAAATAGAAATACTCAAATATTTAACCATATAAAAATGGAAACTTCTATAAAACAAAAGATACCATGTAAAAGTGAAGCCAAATCATAAAAGGAAAAAAGAAGTTTGCATTAAATTTACTCAACAAAAGACTATTTAAACAAATAAAAGATCAGTTCTAGGTTATATAAAGAACTTCTAGAAATCAATTTTCTATAAGAACAACAAATAATTAGGATATATTATTGTCAAACTGGCATGATCAATGTAATAGAAAAAGAACACCGAGGAATAAATATGGTAAGCGATATAAAGACCCTTTATGGAAATTTAAATTTTTTCTTATGACTTAAATCAAACCAAAATAAATATATAATACATTGATGGAGGAAAAAATTTACATGTCATAAACAATCATAATGATATTAACTTTTCCCCAAACTGACACAAAGGGTCAATCCAAATCAAATGAAAATCCCCAACTCCCCCTCTCAAAGGACAGAATAAGTTGATACTGAAATGACATAGAAGAACAAATGCTAAAGAAAATTTAAGGGTCAATTTCAATCTAAAGAACTTAGTTCTATTAGAAAAATAAATGAGAATTTTCTCTACCAGATATAAAGAATCATAGTAAATAAGACTGTGATTTTGGCTCAGGGACAAAAAAATCTTGCATAGTAAAAAGTTAACAGAGCCCAAAATAGTTCTCTAAGAATATGGATACTTAGTATGTAGTAGAAATAATTCTGAAGACTGATGGGAAAAGATGGATTTGAAAATTGGAGCTGAACAACTGATTACTTATAAGAAAGATGGGGTTAGATTTCTGCCTCACACAATACATAAAAATAAATTTTGAGTTAATTCATGAAAGACCTAAATCTAAAGTAAAACTTTAAAATATTTATAAAAAGTTATACATGAGTATCTTTATATCCCTGGAGACAGAAAAGAATTTCCTAAGAAAAGCACAAAAGCATTCATGTGGAAAAGATTGATACATTCAACTTCACTGAAATTAAGACTCAGTGGTTATCAAAGTCATCAAATTAAATTGAAAAAAAGACCAAAAAATCACTGTAAGCAGTCCCCTAACACTAAAGTATAGATTCACTATCACTTTAAAGTTCAATGGCCTAGAAAGATGAGTTAAAACTTAACAGGGAACAGTCTATATTTTTAACAAACAAGATCTGTATTGTCTAAAATATCCCTAAATGCAAGAGATGCACAGAAGGAAAAAAAAATTAAACTAAAGTTGTTAAATACTTTCTTCTTGGACAGGTACAGATATTGACATTGATCTTCAAAAAAAGAATCATGGTAGAACTACTTTTTAATAGCTATAGACTGCTTGAAAAGTTTGGCAATTTCAAAGTATTTTATTCCCTAAAATGTCAATGGCAGGTTACAATAAGAGACTCTAGTAAAATCCTCCTTCAGAAAAGCACTCAGCCAAATCCTTAACCCAAGGTGAGCCACAACAGAAATGGGGAAAGGAGGGCAGGCTGTACAGTGAGATGCCAGGGTAAAAGTCCAAATCCTTCTGCTGTCTGGATGCTACACAATTTATATTCCACTGAGAGTCAGCAATTAATCAGCCCAGTTCCACTCATGCTATCGATGAGGAAACCAAGGTCCAGCTATGCAAAAAAGACAGTAAAAGAACAGCAGAGCAGGAGCTGAACTTACACTGCCATCATTGTTAGGTACTTTCTTTTGATACTTCTGTAACAAGGTAGCACTAAGAATTTTAAAAGCAGAATAAAGAGTGTATAAAGAAATTGAGATTATTAATGGCCAAAGTGCAGGTTCCAAGGAGGAAGCAGTGGGGCTTTCAAGAATAAGTAGCAGTTCACTCATGGAGGTGGGTAAGGGACAAGAAGACAGAAGGATATTGTGCACAGAGCAGCAGCACAGATAAGAACTCTTTGAAAACTAATTGGTTATCGTATAACATGGCCTTCTTTATCTCACTGTTGCAGAAATAGGAAGAAAAGAGCAGCAAGGTAGGAAAGTAACAGTAAACAATGTTCAAATGTCATTAATATTTGTTTAACTTTTAACAGTTTGAACCAATGATGCTATTATAAAGAAAATACATTTAAAGTAACATCTATGGGCCTCCCTGGTGGCACAACGGATTAAGTATCAGGTCTATCAAGCTACTGGCAGCCACTGCAGCTCGAGTTCAGTTCCTGGCCAGGAAGCTAATCCACACATGCACAGCAGATCTCTCCTACCTCACCCACTGCTTCCCTCAGCAGTGTATTTTAGTACAGCTACCTGTTCTGCTCTGTCTCTGGCGGATCCTCTCACCCCTTGCACCTCCAGCTTACACCCCCATTCTTGTATATATAAATAAATATAAATAAATCTTAAAAATAAAGTCTATGAGAATAACTAGCCACAAAATTAGGTTTAAAACTCAGATACAGTTGATGGTATACATCACTGTTGCTTGGTTTAGTAATTAGGTACTGAACCACTTAAAAATATTGAAATTGGTTTTACTTTTAACTTTGATATGGACAAAAGCAAACATTTCTTTTTTTAAAAAAAGATTTATTCATTTATATGTACAGAACTGGGGTACAAGCCAGAGGTGGAGGGGCAGTGAGAGGATTCACCAGAGACAGAGTGGGGAGCAGAACAGGCTGATTGACGAAGTACACTGCTGAGGGGAGCAGCGGATGGGTCAGAGGAGGTCTGCTGTGCTATGTGGATCACCTCCGACGCCAGGGATCGAACTCACACTAAGGCAGCTACAGCTAGTTGCACTGCTACGTCCCAACCCACTGCACCACCAGGGAAGGCCCCAAAAGCAAACATTTCTAGGAGCAGTTAGAATTTTGTCCTGGGTGAAAGGAGAAAATGGGAACTTTGTGGTCCTTTGGCAGCCTCCCATACTCTCTCATCTTTACCAGTTCTAAGCATCATTCAAGAAACAAATATGTGAGCACCTATTAAGTGCCACACAAAATGCTATGCACAGGAGCAACTGAGGTTCCTTGCTGATCCAGGAGCAGGTACTGTGGTTAGGATTCCAGTGTCCTCCCTCGCTCTAGAAAACCTGGGCTGTGTGTATATTTCCCTTGAGCTCCATCCAGACATCCAGGGGAATCCAGTGCTTTCTGGGAATCCCCCTGCTTTGCACAGTTAACTCATTTTCTTCCCTTCCATAACTTCTGAAGCCATCAAGCATAATTCTCCTTTCCCTGGCCCAATATAGTGAATTTATAATATTTATATTAAATATAAAAATTAAAAAACAAGAAACTAAAATCCCAATTATAATTATTGCCTAAAATCTATCCATTAGAAATTTGGTTTGACAAGCCAAAAATCCTGAGTTACAGTGGCATTTCCCACGGAGTATGCCTTAGCACTTATGCCTTGACCTGCCTCACAGGTTAGGGGGTACCAAGATGTTGACCTCTTAATCCTTAACGTGACAGGTAGGGCTGAGGTAGCTCAAGTCCCTGCATCATCTCCCTTCTGTTCTCAATAACCTTTATTTTGCTCTTTATATTCCAGTTTACTTTCAAACTCTTATTTTCTATGGTCTGCAAATGAAAGAGATTGAGAAGTGTTGGTTAGAACACTTTTATGTTTTGGGAAACCAGTCAAGACTACTCAAGTTAGGTAACCTTTGGGAAGTCAATTTCCTTTTCTGGGCTTTAGAATATCCACAAGTATGAAGAGATAGTTACACTAAGTAACCTTTTAATATTTCATCTAACTCTACAGTATAATTACTCAGTAAGTTGTGAAATCCCCTGGGATATCCTGAAAAAACAGCATTCTTTGGGGGTGAGGGAGGGACAAATATTTAAGTGAGACTTAAACAATGTTCAAAGCATATAGTGAATTCTTATTTACCTAACAAATCCATCTAACTGCCAAAATACTGTAACTAATACTACTAATAGAGAGACACATTCCCTGTTCTCTTCAAGATTACAGTCTAACATACACATACACACCAATTATAACTTAATGGGATAAGTATGTATTCAAATAGAAAGAAATACAGTGTTGGAGTATGTGGCAGGGTATTTATCTCAGTTTTGGTTATGGAAGGCTTAGTGAAAGAGGTGACATCCAAGGCAAAACAACAAGATGCTGAGTAGGATGGAGTTGGCTATGGGCATGTGTGAGCAGATACAGATGGTGTGGGAATGAGGGCATTCTATGCAGAGGGCATGCCATCTGCCATGTCCCAGGAAGACAATAACTTTGGAAATATATGCCTGGAGTTTCAAGCAGCAATGCAAATGGAAGAGTGCAATGAGAGATTAGGAAAAGTGCTGTGTTTGTAGGTTGAACTGGAGGTGGGCAAGTTGGGGTTGGAAGATTCAATGGCTGCTAAAGACTCAGGCTAAGCAGCAAATCACGGATGGGGAAACAGAGGAGGCTTAAAGAGTACTGCTTTCAGTTGTGCTTGGCAAAGTCAGGTAAGGCAAAATTAGTTTAACACAGGAAGGAATATACAATGGCATCTTGTTACCATTTTATTTATTTTTTTAATGTTCAGATTAAACTATAACTCTAAATTCTCAAAATTACATAAAAAAATGTTTAAAAGATTCTTGAAAAGCTCTCTTTATTTAAATGTATTTTCAGTGAAACACTTCTTCAGTGTTAGTGCTTGAGAAGGCCTTTCATCAGCCTTCATTACTTTTTTATACAATCTCCCTAGTGACAAATTCAGAATTGAAACTCCTCACACCTACAATGTGATCACTCTAAAATCCATCAATTCAGTTCATGCCTCTCTTAGTCTTCATACCCACCTTCACAATTTGATAGCCACTTAACGTGAAGCACATTAAGTCACATAAGCACCTCTAAGTCACAGTTTCTATTTGATTCTTTGCTATATCCCCACTAGAAAACCTAACATGGGGACAAGAAGGGATTTGCTTATTGACTGTTGAGAACCTCTGTGCTTTGAAATCACTATTCAAGTCTCATAGTTTTTGCAAGTATTCTACTAGTATTAATTAGGGTATCTATACCTGATTACAGAGATATTGTGTCTCAAAATCTCTAAAAATGAAATAGTCATTAAAAATTCAAAAATAAATGAAGAGTGTGAAATGTGAAGAAAAATAAAAAGGTAGTCTTAAAATCAGGAGAGGAAAAGTAAGCAGTAGGCAAGATGGCTTGTTCAAAAGCACTACAGTAAGTTCATATAATATAGAATCCAGAAAAGTATACTTATAATGGGAATGTACAGAAAACAAGTTCTTAAAATTATATTACCATCAAAAGCAACAATATCATTTGACTTTCAGGAAATTATTTTCAGGGTACATTTTATAATTAGCACCTATAAAACATTTAAAATTGAGTTTTACATAGTAATTTCTTTTTCAACACCATCCCTATATAGAAAGTTATACCCTGTAAAATAGAATGCATTTCACCATAGCAACAGTTCTATATCAACTCCTACTCAAGTTAGAAAGAGCCTGCTAGGAAAAAAAAAAATCTGGAATATTCTGAGGTGCCTGCTAGAATAAATCACTCCCTTTATTTCATAAAAATTTAAACATAAGTTAATGTTTCTTTAAAGCATTTGTAATTTGTCAGAACACTGTTTTCATTTCTCAAGTCTTGCCTCATTAAATAGTATAATAAGATACCTAAAAGAAAGTAAGAAAAAAGAATGCAAAAGAAAAGAAACCATCAATGTCAAGAATAACATACTTGGGAATCAAGTTAATTGGTGTGCTGGCGGATGAAAATAATAATAGGAAATGAGATTTAAGTAAAACATAAAGCTACAGCCATCTTATTTCCTCAAGAAAGCCTATACCCTAATAGTATTATAGGAGTTGAAAAAGAAATTCTATGTTCAGTCTTCCTTTAAAAGACAATTAAAGCATTATTATTTAGTAACTGTTTAATAAATTAAGCAAACAGATTTACAAATTCCCTTATAAGAATGAAAAAGTATATGGACATCAAGTATCAGGTTATAGAATCAACCCCCCCTTCACGGGGTTTGGCTACCTGCTGCAGGCTCCTATGCCACTATGGTGTCCTATATCATGGGACTTACTAGATGTATTCTAACAGTCTGTCTCTCTTCTCTGCTAGACTACAAGTTCTTCAAGGGCAGGGAATATTCTGGCTTGCTTACCACTTTATGTCCCAATGCTTGTTTTGCTAACTACAGTTAAATAGGACTTTAATAATTATGTATTAAATATATACAGGATCATTATGCACTGTAAGAGAACAACAAAAATGCATTCAACAAAAGTTTTCATCACTGAAATCTACTAAAGCCAATTCTGATTCTTCCTCAGAACATTTGAAAACAGTGGAACACAGAACAAAGCACAAGAGGCTATTAGAAAAATCTGTAAACCTATCATATGATTCTACCATTATTAAAGTATTTGGGTATTTGTAGATGAAGCGTATCTTTGCTGAATTAAGATGGGAAACTTTAGCTGCTATATCTTTGCACTTATGGGTAATCTTTCACTGTAAATGACACTATCCATATTTGATGATGAATATAAAACTCAAGTTCAGGATTAATTCTTTTAACAACGAAGTTAAAACTTGGTCAAATCATAAAAAATGTTTATTTGGTATTTTAAAGTTTAGAATCAACATTATCAACTTATTTTTTGGCATAACCAGGTACTTACTGATAAATTTGTACTATTAGGAACATACTGATCCTGTTCTCCCAGCAACATATCAATCACAGGGTGCCGACCATTTTTTATTATGATTTTTCTTTCTTCCTTTACAGTTGGCCTACATAAAGACACACATTTCAATTTAGTAAACATGGAAATGCCTTTAAAAAAACAGATATTAAAAACACACACTCAGGGCCTCCTTGGTGGCTCAGAGGTTAAAGTCTCAGTGCTATCAAGCTATCACCAGCCCCTGTGACATGAATTTAATCACCAGCCATGCAGTCAACCCACATGTAGGGCAGCAGACCTCTCCTGCCTTGCCTGCTGCTCCCCTCAGCAGTATATTTCAATAGCTCTGCCTTTTCTGCTCCCCACTCTGGTGAATCTTCTCACCACCTCCCCCACCTACAACCCTCTGGCCTACATCCCAGTCCTTGTATGCATAACTAAATAAAAATAAACGTTAAAAAAAAGAACACCCTGCAGAATAAGGCTTTAAGTATAAAATTTTACCTACAAAATAAGAATGGGGAAGACAATTATAATAATGAAACTTGAAGCACAAAATTTAACAGAGTTCTCTCTTTACAAGATCCTTTTTATTATTCAATTTTCTATTATTTTCTAATACCAATATTTTCTTTTTTTATACTAATATTTTTACCTTTCCTTTAACATTAGCTTATATTATTGTTGGTAAGTTAAAGGATCAATATTTTCATTAGTAAAAGATACAATTTAGATTTGTGCTACAAAGTATTTTTAGTTATCAAGAATAAAGGATATTACATAAATTTACTTCTACAATTAATTATTACATTCAAATATATTAAATATGTTGATCTCAAAGGCTTAAAATTTTTCTTCTGTTTAAATGTCAAAAAGTGTTCCACTTTTTTGGTTGAAATTTTTTGTCTTGCTTATTTTGTGTTTTGAGCTTTTTTGTATTTGTTTTGTCTATTTCCCAAAGATCTGTGAGCACTACACTATGATCATTCTTTCTAGACATTACCACTGAGATCATTTTGGTGCCTGTCCAGTATCCTTCTATGTATTTAAGTTTATATACATTCATGGCATTGGCTTCTGATTTTTTAAGAGACAAAAAACAGAATCAAACCATAACATCTTTCTACAATTACACTACTATCCCTTGCAACCTCTTTTAACAAATTAATATTCAAGTCATTTTAAAAATTTTGCAGAATTGAGAACAATGTAGTAACCACAAAATACCTCATGATGAATTTTTGCCAGAATTCAAACAGCAAATCTCAAATTTTTATTCCATATTTTCCTGGCTTTGAAAATATATATCCCTGGAATGCTCAACATATTTGAATGTAAGTAACTGCTCATCAGCTGTCAAGCATGTACATGACATTATTCATTTATAAACACTAATTCTAGATTTCAATACATTTCTCAGAAGTTCTAGCTTACCATTATATCTGGTTCTTATCCCATTTGCACTGACAAAAATGCAGTACTTGACCTTTCTGAAATCTTTTAAAACTCATAATTTTATTGAGAGGACAGCAATCTTCTTTGCTCTTTGCTTCATAATTATAGAACATTTTCATTTTATATTTATAAATATCAATTAGAAAAATCAATTCAATCAATATTTTTATTTCACAGCATCTATTTTCTTCCAATCTCCTGCCTTCTGCATCTGTCCACCTATAAACTGTATCAAGTAAATTTTGGTACACAGACCTCATAAAAGATAAAAGAATATTGCCAACATGTCTTTTCATCTTGCCAACAGGCTAGTCCAGGTTCTTGTTACCAAGTATTGTATGATGTATGCTTCCTACAGTATAGCTAACTACATTTCATTTTGCCCTTAGAAATATTATTCATATATTGCTCCTGGAGTCTGAAACACTCTTCTAGGACTTTGACATCTGAATACTCATAATCTGAGATTTTGTTTATATAAGAAATTCCAATCTAATGATTATGAAATGTCATCTGCCAACTTATTCTCTGTAAAAAACAAGGAATTCTGATTTTCAACTAAATTTAACGCAAGTATGAAGCAGACTAGTGGTGGCATCTCTGTTTTTCCATCATACCTTCTAGAAATATGATGGTAAAGAGTTTGGGTAACAGTAAAAAAAAAAAAAAAAACTAAACAATGTGATAGTGATTTCTAGCTCACTTAAGTATCTTCTTCAATTTTTCTTATTTTGGACTTTTATAAGTGGAAATAACTGGTAAACAACAATGACTGCCCTAGGATGAGGAATTATAAAATGTTCCAGATATAAAAAAGAACATTAAAGATCCCAAAATGCATCTTAAATTTACAAAAGGATTCAATTGTCCTCCATGGTAAAGGCAAGACAGAATCCGTTTGATTCTCCTTTTTCAAAAAAGCTTAGCACTCTTTTTGTTCTTTGGAAGGTCTTAAGAAATCAAAAACCTGAAATTAGGTCTTGATGGTATGGTATACTGAAGATTAAGGATCACTCACAGCAGCTCTTCAGCATTCTTTGGAATGCTGCTACATAGATGAGTTAGCTATTTTTCAGTTTTCAACATTTAAACTGTCTAGATTTTCATAATCATAAACAATGCTGCAATGTACAATCTTATGCATCTGTTCTTGTGCCTATGACCAAGTGTTTCTTTTAGCCAGAGAAAATAGCCAAGTAGAATTTCTGAGTCATAGGGTATGCATGTTTTTTATTTTCATAGGTAAAAGTTCCTGTAGCAATCCACCTTCCCAACAGCAGTATATGAAAGATGACACCTAAAGTTGTTATCAAACTTACTAATTTTTGACAATATGGTGGGTGAACTGTGTTATTTCACTATTTGGTTTTATACATAATAAGGTTAGAAATCTTCATTAATTTCTTGGACATTTTCATCTTTTTCGTCATAACATTCTATCAGTGATCTCCTCAAGTTCTGTGACCCAAAATATTCACAAATGAACACATTTCTCTATTTATCTATATCAAAAAGTTTTTCTACTTAAATATATCTAGGTCACAAAACCCCAATAATGAACACTCATATTTTACCTCCCCCAGCAAAAAAAGTGACTACAGTATCTTCTAAGTAAACAATCTGAAATCATCCTTGGCAAAACAGATTTTGGATTTTAGAATATAAATCTGAAATTTTTATCTAGGTGGGTTATCAATTTAGATGAAAAGGAAAAAATGAAGTGATATCAGTTTTAAAATCCAAGTACTCTGCAGAGAGAAATTAATATATAATATTCAAGACACTGACATGATTTTCAGGAAGGTTTTCACTTTAGAATAAAAGTTTGAATGATGTTTTCTGCTCTAAAATCTATATTAACTTATTTTGTTGCTATCAAAATAATATAAAGACAAAGTACTTCTTGGGAGAATGAGAAGCAAATGATAATTCACAGACAATAGATGATATACTAAGACAGAACATTTATAGCAAGAAATATATTATCATGTTGAAAATGTCTTATGACATTGAGGAAATTGGAATGGTGCCTGGGAAGAATAAAACATTGAACTTGAACAAATTTAATTATTATTTTTCTGAAACTGCAGCTTTTTCCTTTGCCTGTCCCAAAGAAACAGAACATAATCTATAACAGTAAAATGGTAAAATATCCAGAATACAAGCTGACTGGGAAGGCTTAGTAAAGAACTTTTGTCTATAGGTTTAGATTATAATGAAAAAAGTATCACAGCATCAGAAAAAAAAAAGATAGCAATTATGAAACCAAATAATCAGTTACATATATATGTATATATATATATTAGTACATATATATATCTCTTAATATATATCTCCAACTTGGATAATATTTTAGCATGTGAAATGGTCTTTCTAATAGATGGTTTGGAACAATACTACTAAGAACAAAAACAAAGCTGGATAACATATATAAAACAGTTCCTTGCAGGCACCTGTTAACTAACAAGAAAGCAAAATATTATCAGACCAGGACCTGGGATAGGGCAGAGAAGAAGGGGTGTGGATATCTAAAAGAATAGCTAAGGCAAAGCATAATGGACTCCTTTGCTCTGAACTGAGGCACCAAAAGGCTGCACAAAAGCCATAGTTAAACATCTTTGAATAATTACAGTTGTTATGCACTAAGTGCTTATCATTGCCTTGGTACTGTTCAGACGTTTCATCTATTTTTATCTCATTTAATCTGTACATCTCTGAGAGGTAGGTATTAGTTTGTCCTTGCAGAAACGGAGGATCAGAGAGGTTAAGTAACCTACTGAAGTCTAGCTGTTAAAAAGCCAAACTACTACTCAAATCTATTACTCCATGATCCAAAATATACACTTCTGCAGGACAAACATAAAAAAAATCAAATTTTACTTATTCAAGTCAAGGGCTCTTTCTTATGCAAATATGGAAGATGCCCCCAAAACAAGAAGTTCTAAAATAAAAAAATCTAGAATCAAACTTGCATATAGTAGCTACTCCAAAAATACTTATTAAATCTCTGATGTGTCTAGAAATTAATGATACAATTTTATAGTGTTGTTATATGGATACATCTTCATTGCTCAGAGTTTTTAACAAAACTATATGTCAATAATAATTCCTAAATCTTATGATTTATCCCATTTTCTAATTCATAACTTCTTAAATTTTATATGTGACTTGTACTCTCATACATGTCTTTTTTTTCTCTTTTAATTAATTTGCTACAGTAGTAAATCCACCAAACAAATCAAGGAAGTGTGGGGTTCTTGGGGATGGACTAGGTGTATCTTACATGTGAAAAGGGTATGAAATTTCAAGGGTCAGGGACAACATTCTGTCCCTGTGAGCCTCCTAAGTTGAAAGGTTTAAACCTAATGCCAACATGGTAGGAGGTAGAGTCTTTGGAAAGTGGTAAGACTGGTGTCTCAAAGAGAGCCCAGAAATAAGCCTAGGTCCTTCCCACCATGTGAAAATATAGGCAAAAAGATGATCACTTGCACTCCTGACTAAAACAGAGGCTCTACACTATACAAAAATAGCATAGTACTACAACAAAAACACACACACAGGCAGTGGAATTGAAAACCCAGAAATAAAACCATACATCTATGGTCAACTAATCTATGAGGAAAGAATAAAGAATAAATGGTGCTAGGAAAACTGGACTGCCACATGCAGAAGAGTGAAACTAGACCACTATCTCGTACCACACACAAAAATCAACTCAATGCAATATACTATTCAGCAATCAAAAAGATAAACTCATGCCACCTGCAGCAATATGGATGGAGCTAGAAGGGAATATGCTCAGTGAAATAAGTCAGCATTAAAAAGAAAAATACTGGATGGTTTCACTTTTAAGATGACCATAAAGGAACCAAACAAGGGATCAGGGGAAAAGACAAAACTAGCAGGCAATCTATGTATCAGAGACATTTAGCAAGGGCGGAGGGAGAAGCAGAGGAATCAAAACAGGGAGGGAAGAATTTAAGAGACTATGGTAATGGTTCATGGGTGTCTTGGTGGTGTTAATTTTATGGGGATTACAACTGAGAGGAAAATGAACAATGATGTGAAAAAATACATAAATGTAAAAAAAGTTCAAATGTGTACAAAAATGAACAATAATATATAAATAATTTTTTAAAGTAGAAAAAACGTTGATAAAAGATTTAGATGTAAGACCAAAACCATAAAAAATACAGAAGAAAGTATAGGTAAGGTATTCCATGCATAAACTTCAGAAACATTTAGGAGGGCTAATCTCTAGAAACAAGCAAAACAAAGAATATAAGCAGCTTGGACTACATCAAATTAAAATGCTTCTGAACAGCAAAAGGGAGCAACCAAAGACACACCCTACTGAATAGGAGAAAACATTTGCAAACCATACATCTGATAAGGGACTGATATCCAAGATCTACAAAGAGCTTATACAAAACAAGAAAAACAAAGCCAAACAACTCAATCAAAAAATGGGAAGAAAAGCTAAAAAGACAGTCACCAAAGAAGAAATGCAAATGGCCAACAAGCATATGAAAAAATGTTCAACATCACTTAATATCAGGGAAATACAAATCAAAATGACAATTAGATACCACCACACCTGTGAGAATGGTCCATTATCAATAAAAAACCAGAAACAACAAATGTTGGCAAGGAGTGGTGAAAAAAGAAATCTATCTCACACTGCTGGTGGGAATATAAACTGGTCCAGCCACAATAGAAAGCTGTGTGGAGGTTCCTCAAAATACTAAAAATGAATCTACCATGTGACCTAGCAAATTCAATCCTAGGAATCTACCAAAAAGACACAAAAAAACTAACTCAAAAGGAAACTTATACGCCTATGTTTATTGCAGCTCTGTTTATAATAGCCCAGTTATAGAAACAATCCATATGCAATATAAAAAAATTATTAAAAAAAAAAAGCAGCACAGGGAATGTTACTCAGTAATCAAAAAAGATAATATGTCATTTGTTGCAACATAGATAGAGCTGGAAGGGGTTAAGCTACGTGAAATAAATCATAAGGAAAAAAATATATTGGCTGGTTTCACATATATGTAGAATATAGAGAAAACAAGCGAAGGATTGGGAAAAAGACACAACTTGCAAACTGACCATAGATTAAGGCGTACAGCAGAGGAGGGGAATGAGAGGGCCTAACAAGGAAGGGAAGAAAACCAGGGAATGTGGTGATGGATCATGGGTGCTATGGTGGTGGGAGAACTATTACACCTGAGGAAAGAAATCAAATACTGTCCAAATATTAACAACAAGGTAAGAAAGTAAATATAAAAAACAAACAGAAGACTATATGAAACAGGAAGCAGGCCTCACCAGACACTGAATCTGCTTGGTATCCTGACCTTGGACTTTCCAGCCTCAAGAACTCTGAGGTTGGACCAACAAGAAATTTTTGTTGTTTTTAAGCCACCAAGTCTAGAGTATTGGAAGGCAAGTTGGAAGGACTAGAAAATAAGCAGTTTGTCCAAAAACTGGAGCTAAAATTTAAAGTGAGGTCTGTTTGATATGAATGTCCATTAGGAAAAGGAAACATACATACAATGCTTAGAGAAATCAATAAAGAATAAAGAGATAAGTTTGGCCTCACAGTAGAAAGAACAGAAAAGATCACAAAAATGTTGTGTTTCTTGCCTAATTAAGGTTTTATAATCATATATATTTTAAAAATTACAATGTGTACATATCAAAGCTAACAAATGAAATGACTACTCCTTTATAAAAATGTCACCCGCATAAACTTAGAAATTCAAATATGTAACATTCCCCTACAGAGTTAATAGTAAACATCTGCTTTTATTGCATTTATTAACAGAGCAAGCAAAGAAATAATTTGTCGATTTTAAATCAAGCCATGCATATGTCATTCAGCTTTACCAAGAATCCAACATATCTGAGTAATTTGAATATTTAAAATAAAAGCACTAAAATTAATTGAAAAATGTCAACTGATCTCAAGCATTGTGGGAGAGTGTAAAAGAAATCAATTACCTGCTGTAATTTCCTTGCTTAGCGACCTTGGCCAAGGAGAAAATGCAGTCAAGAGTTGCTAGGTGATGTACCGCTTTACACAGGGAATAATAATGTTCACCAAAATTCCTACAGAAGTGGTAACAACAACACAGAAGTGATCAAATTGATTACTCAGAGCTGTAAAAGTTGTACTGTAAGTTATCACTTTATTAGCTATGATGGGCACACTATAAAAGAACCAGGCATATCCAGCAATTCAGAGATGGAAATTTTACTGGATTTCTCTTTAATAACTTGATTATTGAAGCTCCTTTTTTTAAATTTGAGTAGAATTACATATATCTAAAATAGCTTCTATACAAAGATGTCTAGTATTAAGACCACGTTGCACATTCCATCTGACCATGACATTTCAACTTAGACATAATTAACACAAGTGAGGTGAACATTTCTATTCATCTTAAGTAACATCACGAACTAATGTATTTAGCATCTCAGTAAGAGACAAACAGACTTGAATAGTCAGTATTCAATTCTCTGATGTCAAGTTCAATGAGGTTAATAAATTTTTAAAATTATATCATATTCACACCATCTGTTACCTCAAAAACCAGTGTGCATAACAATGAATGCTGTTCTCAACTGAGGGCTCTTGCAGCAAATGCTCTAACTAAATTTTAGCCAATATTCTTTTTTTAGATAAAAACTTTAGTTTTTATATAAAATTTTTTACATCGAAACATAAAAATTTTTTAAATTATGTATTTGCAAAGTAAATTAAAGTTTCTAGTAACCTCACTAGAAAGTTACTATTTAAGACTATATATATTTATTTATATCTTTGTTTCATATATGTAGATATATATCAGTAGTTATATCTCTAAAGATGCACAAATGGCCAATAAGCTTATAAAGCATTTATAATTGACTCTTTAAAATGATTTATATGCTATCAATGTGTGAAAATTTAGACATATAGAACTGTAGTCTAATACTATTTGTCATCATTTTCTTCACTTACAGAAGATTATTAATATATCCTCTATACGTAATGTTAGCTTATTTTCACTAACTCTTAACTACAGCAAAGCTATGATCTGATGAAAGCAGAGTTCTCCTGAGTTAATTTGGTAGATGGTCCCAGGTAGATTACAGTAAGACTATAACAGTTAGAATGTAGGCTGCTAGAAGAGAGCAGAAGAGGTAAATCAAAGAGATATTATAAAAGAAAAAACAAGCATGATTTTGATAACAAAGGGGCAAAAAGGAAAACAAAATCAGGGATAATGCCAAAGTTTAAAGCTTGGAAAACATGAACTTTCTTAATCTAGAATGATGACCGGGAGAACTTAATCCATATCCATAAACTCATGTACTACGAACAGTGTGACTGTGAAATTACCTCACCAAATCCCAGCACTTTAGAATACAGACCCTAAATTTTGAAGGAAGTAATTTTAATTTATTAGTAATTTTGTGGTCTCAGTGATGCTACTAAAAGAACTGAGAGATTCAAAGACTCTGAAAACTCTTAAAATGGAAATGCTAGTAAATTAGAAAAATCGCTGAATACCCCCAAATTTCCATTCAGAGTCTTGGATTCAAGACTTTGAGGTAACACAATCTCAAAGAGTCAATAATAAAATTAGAATCTCTTATTTCATCCTAAAACTCAAGATTGTAAGAAAAAAGAGATGGTTTCACTTTTAAAAACTCTCTCATATCTTTCTTTTATTCACTTCTAAGATTGACTAGTTTAAATAAAATTTCCTGATGCATTTCACTAAATATTTGCATTTAAATTTTTAAAGGAAAAGGCTAACAGATTTCTGTGTAGAATGATGCCTCGGGTATCAACGGTACCGGACACTCAGCCTGATCACACCCCAATACACAATGGCTTGAGTATGGCCTCCCATACTTTCCTTATTGTGAACTACTTACTCATTTCTGCATCTCATTTTATTCATCTGTAAACTGGAAATAATATGTAGCCTCACAAGGCTCTTGTAAGGTATGTGAGTTAATATATACAAAGTGTTTAGATGAGTTCTGATCTGGAGTCAGCAACTCTGGACTCTCGCAAGTCAACCATGCATGTCTCTTCCCAACTCCCACCCAGGATAGTTTGAAATCAGCCATGGTAGGAGGATTGACATTACAGAAATCAGCAAACACCACAAATGCTACTCCTGTTCCAGAGACCTATACCACTGACTTAAGTCTGGCAATGTGAACACATGACGATTAATAAATCCTGACAAAAGTATTCCTAAAAAAAAAAAAAAAAAAAAAAAGTGGGGACTACTCTAGATTCAAATAAACTAGAGAAACTCGTAACAAAATGCCATGTGTGAAATTCGATCAGGTCTTTCATTTAAAAATTTGAGAGGGAATTAAGATTAAGGAAATTCAATATATTTTTAAATTAACATTTGTCTTAGACATGATACTGGTTTATAGCAGAATAATTTCATTTAGAAGATGTACATTTTAAGTATTCAGTAGTGAAATGTTAGGATGTTTAAAATTTACTTTTAAATGGTTCAGAAAAATAAGATAAAAAATGTAGCAAAATGTCAGCATTTAATTAATTTAGGTGACTGGTGTAGAGTTGTTCATTTTAACTTACCCACAGGTTTTTAATTAAAAAAAAGAAAAACAGGGGAGAACACACCAAATACAATAAAATATAATTTTAAATATGCATAATTAAGTGTAGATTTAAAAAAAAACCTAACTTATGCAACTCTGAAAATGCTAATTAGCCTTTATGTAGCAAGTGAACAAAGGTCCAAAGTAAAATTTCTGAAAGTGATTCTACCAAAAATGTTAGTACAAAACCATAAGGTATAATTGTCTCTCACCAAAGATGAAGATGAGTTTACATTTCAATAGATAAAAATAACATTAGAGAACACATGTACTCAACTATTTTATGGCAGGTTACAAGCAGTAATCTCTATTCTTTTAGATGGAAAGACTTCTCCATCTAATTTGCATAGCAAAAAGTCAGATTATATTTTTCATTGTAAACTCACTCTAGAAATATAAGCCATTCAGCATTGCAGTCAAGGACTAGTTGCTCCCGGAGCTGATTCAGATGTCTGTAATTTTCTACAATAAAAGGAGAGTGAAAGCGGCTCACGGCTTTTGTGCTAGAGGAGGGGAGGGAAATATAGATAGAAAATCAAGGTTACTAAGAAACCAGTAATGCCATCACTTCAGAAAATTAAAGTAGCTATTTATTTTTCTCTGATGAACCTTGAAAATAAATAGCTGCAAACAGAGAACATTCTTTAATAATGGTCCTGAACTTTAATGAGTCCAGAAATGTTTGTTGTAAAAAAAAGTACTTACAGAGTTCAAAGGCCTTTGTTCTGGAAGCTTTTAAAATACATTTAAAAGTTATCCATATACTAAAATCAATATGTAGAGCTTTTGTTTCATAAATATAAAGCTTTTCTTTATATTAAGTGAAAACAATTTTTAAAAGACTGGAAGCAAATATGGCAAAATAAATGACAAAGTTGGAAGGCAGTTTTACATATATTACTTTTTAATTTTATACTTTGCTATATGATTGAACTATATCAGTAAAAAAGAAAAATATAGAACATTACAAATAATCATGCTTCATTCATTTAGGTGGCAAATAAAAAAAGAGTTCTTCATGATCTAACTGTAGATTCAGTTGAGATGGGGAAAAAAACCACATGCTCTCTGGGCTCGCAGCTAATCTCTGCTTCTTCATTGAGTTGCGGTAGAGCACAATGGGAGCTGACTGACCGCATTGTGAGAAACCCAGCCACGGCTGCAACTCTATGTCATTTGTCAGTTATGTGACTGGGCAAATATAACTACTTTCTCTAAATATCACTCTCCCCTCTACAAAATAGGGATGATAACAGTTGCTCCTTTGTAGGTATTGTAATGATCTAATAGCTATGCTTAACAAAGTATGTCTGTTGTTAGCACTCAAAATTAGGAGTTGGCAAGTGTATTGACACTTTCTTGTTGGTACCATTATTGATGATATGTAACTATGAGGGGGTTTTCAAAAAGAAAAGGTCATGGTTTAAATAATTAGGCAAGTGATAACAGAATAAACTCTAAATTCTGCTTCCTCACTCTTGTAATAATATCACAACAATCTTCCCAAAACCATCTTCATTATTCCTTCAATTTACACCACTGAATGTTCAAAAGATAATAGTATTGATTTATATGCCTTGCTAGTTTTTAAGTTATGTCACCTGACTTCTATGCAAATATGTTTTATTTGAGCTTTCTTTTCTGACCTAACACATATAGTGAGACATAGAAGTTAACTGTTCTAGTCTAACATAATTTTTGCTTTGTTCTGTTCATAAAGCATGTTTCCATTCATTAGTTGTATTAAAGGGCAGAGCATATACAGAACGCCTACACAGAGAAAATCTTCATGCACCAACCGTTAATGGTAGCATGGGGGGCAAGGGGAAACATGGTATTAGCACAAAAGAAATCCTCAATTATGCCAACAGGATCATTTGAAATTACTTAAAAATAATATCATCATGTGTAAAAGTTTTCTTTGCTGGCCCTGCCTGGTGGTGCAGCGGGTTAAAGCACTGCACTAAGAAGCTTAAGCCACTTCCGCATGAGTTCGATCCCCGCTTGCCCCAGAGATCCACATGGCGAGGCAGACCTCTCCTGCCCTGCCTGCTGCTCCCCTCAGCAGTGTACTTTGTCAATCTGCCTGTTCTGCTCCCGACTCTGTCCCTGGTGAATTCTCTCACCCTCCACATCTTTGGCCTGTACCACAGTTCTGTATGAATAAATAAATAAATCTTTAAAAAAAAAAAGTTTTCTTTGCTCCTTCATAGAACAACCAGCTACTAGGAAGTAGTTCTTCTACTATCTTAGGTAAATGTGACATTTCAATCTCAAATTCATGCAAACATATTAACAGCAGCAATAAATATTCAATAAGTATAGGACCTCTCTAATCACACTTTTTAAAAAATTATTCACTTCTTGAGGTTAACATCTAACCAATGAGAAATGACAGTACTCAGCATGCTTCTCTAACTTTGTTTCTGATAAATTTATCTTCATCAACTCATGAAATGATTTACAAAAAAGGATTTACAAAAAGAGAGTTACTGTAGCTATTTGATGTGGAAAGCACTAAGAATAAAAGAAATGCAGGTAAGTAGAAAATGAAATTTCAGCTTCTCAAAAGAAATATCAGTTATTATATTTATCAAGAAATTCATGCAATCAAATTAATCTTGTAATTGAAGTTTACTCAACTTTTCTTTTTCATGTGTTTAAAGTATATGGGGGTGTAAGAAACAAACAGCAATTCACAGAACAGTAAAACAAATATATACAGATAAAATACCCTTTGGAAAAACTTTTAAAACCAATGATAAAAAAAAAATTTTGAAGTAATTATTCTGTTGGTTCCATACTAAAGCTGAATGGGAAGACTTGTTGACAATATGGCGATTGTTTAGTCTAGCCACACAAAATTAATATTATAATTCATGTTAATAAAAAAAAATGTAGTTTTAAACATACCTTCCAACCTTAACCCAATCAGTTGGTATACAAGAGACAGCAGAATTCTTTATTTCAATCATAAACTAAAAAGATACAAATAAAATTAGATATTTAAATAATTAACCATTTGTAAAGCTTCAAAAATGTGTTGTTTGCTAAATATTATTTTAAACATTCAAAATATATCCCATATTTCTTCAGGAGGGTTAAAAAAGACTATATACAACCAAATAGCATTAAATCAGATTTCAATACTTAGGATAAAAGACAATTTTATATCAGACAATGTCAGAGACCATATCAGATGTCAAAGTCCAGCTCTGACAAATGGGCAGTCAGGGGTCTTCCTTCCCCCCACCAAAGGTGGGATGTGCCTTCGAAATGAGCAATTGAGGCAGACACTGACTCTCAAGCTGGCGCAAGTATCTCCTGCAGAGCGTCTCAGGGGGTCTTTATTTATATGTTAAAGCACGCAGTTAGATTACATCAACAAAGCATTGAAGCAAAGTAAAAATAATCACTACATATTTTTTCATAGTCACTTGGAAACCCCTGTGGCCTCATACTGGAAAGAAACTATTTGATCATCTTAAGAAAAACATAAGAAACAATCAAGGCTTCTAAACATACCTATTTTCTCAGCATCATCAATCACATGGGACAGAGTGACATTTGTTAATGTTTAACCACCCTACTAATTCCCTAACGTACATTCTTTTCTCTACATTCTGTTATTCTAAAACCTAAGAATATCACTAATATATTGTCTTCCTTAAAGTTCTACTATACAACTTATCATTCTTATCTAACTCCTATATTCATTATCTACCTTAGTCCGGTCTAAGCTAAGAATAACTAACCTGTGAAGTACTGACCTTCGGAGCACACCAGAAAATCTACTTAAGCAGCAAGCACACCTCCCGGGTGAGATTCCGGTCACTGGCCATAGTTAGCTTAACACAATTTTGTTCCCCATTGTCTTCAGAGCTACAACCTGTTTTTCCTAGATTCTTGCAATGTTAATTCCTATGTTCTTAGGTACATGTTATGTATTATGCCAATTAATACCTAACCCAAGTTAATTTAGACAGACCAATCATATAACCAATTTTAGACTATTATTATTATTTTTTTTTTTAAAGATTTATTTATTTGTGCATACAGAACTGGGGTACAGGCCAGAGACGCGGAGGGTGAGAGGATTCACCAGAGAC